TAAATTCCTGTCGAATTCAATGAATATATTATTCAATTCAAATTATACATCGTAAGACGTTAATAATTATTTAATACGAATTAATGAACACTTGATCTGGTGCGAAGAAATCCACAAATTAAATTACAAATCGTCTGTTAGTTATAGCGTGTTACATAATTAGGTGTCAATAATATTTGGAAATATCATCGGTAGCATAGATAAGCTTGCACAGACTTCATTGGCAGTTCAACGAAAATTCCGATCACCAAAAATATATGGACACGTCCCTTTAAAATGTATACCAACAGAAGAATTTTTTGAACTTGTCGATAACTTATTCATTAATATCTGATTCTATTTCCTAGGAAGATTTAAGAAAACGATATTTTAAATGCATTTTTATCGAGTAAAAAGGCGTTCAGAGAGGCAAAGTTGCTCTTTCTTGAATTTTCATCGCATATAGTCTAACCCTAGTTCTAGGTGACTTTGTACAATAACTTCAGATCGCAGAAACTTTGTACGGTTCAGTAAAATTGAACATTTCACAACATGAAGACGTCTTTGAAGTACGGTCTGGTAGAAATTTAGATTACAGAACTCAGAAATTTTGTATTATTCTAACTATAATATAAATAATTTATTGAAGAATTTAAAAATGATGTTAAAAATGTTATAAAGTGGATTGAGATTTAAACCTTATTTATTATTTGATATCTAAGATATGTCTTACATTCCAAATGGAAAGGACGATTTCAGTTATAAATTATAAATTATATTGTACTATACTTATTGCATTTTTAAAATTTAAAAATTTAAAAAATGTGTTCGATATAAGTTTTGATTTAAAATATTTAATATTATTTCATTGCCTGTTTATATTGTTAACATGTTTTATTTTAATATTGTACTTAAGAACACTGTTAGTTGTATATTATTAATGTTATTTTTGTCTTGACTTAATATAATATTTATTTTGTAATACGTAGAGATATGTTAGTAATAGTTTAATATATTATTAGCTGCCATGTAATACTTAAGTCTCATTGAACTTTATAACATTTTTAATATAATATATTATGACTTTAGACGTTTATGTTATTATATAATCTATAGTTTATAGTCTTCATTGTGTATGATTATTTGTATATAATTATAGTACATCGTGTTCTGCAATGTACCATTTTTACTCGACTATAATACAAAGTGTCCGAGTTTGGCATTTCAATCAATGATCGAGGCAAAGTGACCGTTTACCAGTTACCTACTCAGTACATCCCATCATGCACACGCCCAGAGTTCTGACAAGACGATCAACATCCAATAACAGCTATAATAATATAGACATTTGATGATTTCGGTCGTGCACGATGAAACTGTATTTTGTTCTAGTTTATACATCTTACGTAATACCATAACTGCGCAGCGCGTGCTGTTTAATTGACTCGAATAATATAAATAATACTCAAACAAGGACTGAGTTTTTTTTTTTTTTAATGTATTTAGGTGAATAGATTTTTAACAATTCCTCAGAATAACGTTTTCACGTTTTAATCCGACCATGAATGTCACTTAAAAACCGTAAAATTTTACTAAGAAAAAAAACGTTGATCATTGTTTTAGCTAGCTGGGTCGATACGACGCTCGACGTAAAGTAATTAGGTACAAATACGACGTAGGATACCTTCTAAACACCCTAAGATCTAAAGCCCAAAATGTTTTGTCAAGGTGCATATGATAATAATACATTTTGTGATCGATACTAGGCTAAAATGTACACCATGCATAATAGGTACCGAGAAACATTTAACCCGAAGCTTTCGTGTTTTCTAAAGAACATGCAATTACGTATCCATCTAAAACATTTTTATTTTTATATTATTATAAAATATACCGCATTTTGTATTGAAACATGCGAATACAATAATAATTCTTTCCATTAATGTGAAATATTAATTATTTTTAATAATATGAAAGTGTTCAGACTCCTATACCACGGCATTGAGCCATGATTAATTAAAATTGTACAGAAATATTCATATATTTACAAAAGCGTACACATAAATGTTATAATATTATAACTTATGAGTTTCAAGTAACTGGCATCTTCATTTTGAAAGTATTTTTTATAAAACTATACAATGAATACATTTGGAAAGTAAATATTATCGAATTTATATAATAATATTGCACTGTACATCACGCTATAGATTGTAACATTTATCACAATATATTTACGTATGAAGTTTTTGATTAAAAAAGTAATCGATTTTCCATTTGTTTTATCTTTCACGAGAGTGAAAATTCTAATTAATATTTACTAATTAGGAACGACTCGACGACGCCTGTTTGAGGACAACTAAACTTTAAATACGCGATATTTTGTATTGGAAATGAATAATAATTACAAAATGATTTTAATCTATAAGAACAACTTATACATTTGTAATACATAAATTATAGTTAATTGACGCATTTTTTAACATTCTTTTTTAATTACCATGTATGATATTGAGTTGGAAAATCCAGTTTTTTAAAAAAAAAACTTATAATAATATTACGAGGTTTTAATCGGGAAATTATTAAATCATAGGGCACTCGAGTGAGTAACTATGTTGTTTGTACCTATGATCTAAACGTGTTTATAGGACTATTTAAACACGATAAAGCTCACGTCACGACTCTAGAAATCGTTGAACGATATAACATAGCCAAGAAAACAAACGAACGAACGGTCTACGATGTATCGCTCAGATTTTACGTTTTTGTACAATGCGCCTTTATGTATTGCAGATCACCATCAGTTCCCATTCAATTTTTTTTCCGTCACGAAACCAAATACGCGGTGGTCTGAAAAAAAAAATTATACTTGCAAACACGAAATCGTAGAAACCACACAACCTCGGCCGGTTTATGGCCCAATGATCAGCTTTAGCTCAAAAAACTCATAGGACACTGCAAAATTATCTGACCTGAATGTTCGAATAAAAAACAATAGCTGACGTCGTGACTCCATAGTCTCATCGAACACGTATAAGTAATTCGTATAGGGCAAATCTCGGATTTATATGAACGGAATACTAAAAATATATTACGATTCCGTGAAGGTTAACGATATAATATCAGTCCATTAATTCATTAAAAAAACAATATATTATATATTAGAGTACATGAAAATAAAAAAAAAGGAAAAGTCAAGGCTTCGGTTGGTACTTGCGATTGCGACACTCTCGCGAAAAGCCGTTTCTTTTGGACGACTTTATTTATAACATAATATTGCGATTCAATGAAAAAAATAATATCTAATAAAATTTCATTAAAATTGATTTTTTATAGAAATATATTATGTGTAGCTGTGTCAGCATAACTTTATTCTTTTATTCTTGTGACCTTGTAGTAATCACTCGTTATCCACATAACAATAATTTTTAATTTTAAGTATTATATAATTTTTTTATTTTTACTGAGACCACCACGTCTTCGGGGAACGTAATGTGTAAATTGTGGGTTGTTACTTGATAGTAGATCAAAAGTTTGGTGGTTACTGGTTTGCAAACGTCGCCAGTAAATAAATAGGTATGTGATAACTACAAATTAAAAATGCATTTCGTTCTTAGATGACTCAGTGGAGTCAGACAATTTTAATGCAAGCACATTAGTTATTATTAATCTCCTAATACCATTGCATCAAAAGCTTTATGTAGATAATCAATTAATGTGCAACGTTAAAAGCAAAGTATCGGAAATAACTCTTCTACAATTTCAAAATGAAACGACAATGATACATTTCTAAATGACTTCAACGTCAAAAAACATTGCATGCACATTTTTACTATTTTAATTTTAGCTAACAGATTGTAGTACCATAATTGAGAATTAGTTCATAATATTATTATTTTATTTTTTATTACAAACAATCATGCAACAATTTATATTTTAATAAATCATCAAACTATTTATATAAGAGATTTTTTTTAAAAATAAATTCGTATTTATATTATTTTAATTAATTCAACTAAATTGTTTACCTTTATAAAATATGTTTACTTTTTTGAACGACAGCATAGGTACGTTAAAACAAAACATAGTATATTGTTTATTTATTGATCAAATCGTTTGTTAAACACTTTGAACAAATCGACCAAATAATAAATCCATTCTCCGCTTGTTATAAGCGATTTTCGTTGTATGCGTATTATTATTATTATCATCATCGATTCGCCGGCTAATCGTGTTCTATTAATCATATTGTAATTGAAACAGAGACGTGAGAACATTATCGACACCACTACGTAGGTACTGGATGATTAAATATGTGTTGGTGTGTTATTAATAGCCGCCTAGCTAAATATCAATTTATTATTTTTTTTAACCTATATATTATTATTATAATTTGTATGTGTTTATCGTAATTATTATGATAAATTATTCGTTTTTCATTCATCCGCGTGTTTCAGTAATTTATTCAGGTGTTGTTGCGATATATCAGGAAATAATATCAAGTGTAATTGCAGATATTATACTGAGTTTAATTTTAAACTAACCTAACCGACAGTCTATAAGCGTGTATAGAAGTGTGACTATAATTTGTTATTTAATTAGCCAGGTCATTATATTATTTCATGTTTAGTTATGTCTTATGAATCATAATAGTTCGATTACGCGATCGTTTGTTAAGTAGAAAACTACACTGTTGATCTTGATTTTCGTCACGGGTCAGCGCCGATTTTTGAAACTATCCCTCGTTAAAAACATATAAATTACGATTTATGTTACGCAACACGCCGTAGTTCAGCAGCTATAGTTTGTAGTTTGTACCTACACCTACGTTCCTAATTAATTTTCGAAAAGAAAATAATACGTGCTACTCGAGTTCATTTCACGCCTTCAAAAATACGCCATCGCGGCAATTATTTTTAGCAATTATATTTTAATCCCGGAACTTTCATGTTCGATAAAATCAATTTTCAGTTGCATTTATAGAACAACACAATAATAATGTAAGATCGTTTGTACGTTACCTTTCCTCTGGGCCAGTTGCATCGCCTCTCAGGACTGCTTAAGCACGCCATTTCTTCAGGTTCTGTGTTGTAACTCCAATCAATTGACGAACCCAAAAAATTCAGGAACATTGACGGGACTTGTGTGCCGGTGGGTTCATCTCCACCCGACTCAATTAACAAAACTTTCCATTGCGGTACCTGAAAATATCATGAAAAAATAATTTCAAAAACTCGAAAAATATAAAATTGTTGAGCTTGGAGAGTTGGTGTCTGGAAACGGTACCAATCAGATCTCGATTAAAGTACTATAAAAACAATCGATATTTTTCACAGTAGGTAGATCGTGATTGTTTTGTTTTTTTTAAATTTGCTGCGAAGACTACTTTAGTGACAATATTTCTAATGAGAAGATTTAAGTACTCAATTACAGGGTGAAGTTCAATTTCTGAATTACAATGGTTTGGCGTTTCATAAATTGTATTTTTAAAAACAAACAAAATCGTGCGTGACTTTTTCATACGATTTCACATCAATGATAAGTTACAATTTAAGAGATGGGATGTCCTCGAAGTCTTCGAACCCTCGAACTTAACAAAATTCGAATTGTTCGATTAAAACCATGTGCGAGTGTGACAGAAAATATTATTGCTATTGGAAAAAACTTACAATTTCTAGTAACTTACCTACGTACAACTTGGTTAATACTGATTCAGGTATTATTTATTTATTTGAAAATTTGAGAGTTCAAACTTGGTTGAAAATCACGGGTTTTATCAATGCGTGGATGAGTTTCCCCTCTCAAGAAATCAGTTTTTAAATCATACTTATTTGATAAAATCGAATTTGCTTATTGTACGGATTGAAGAAAAAAGTTCAGGAAACGCGTGGACAGTTCGAATGAGATTCGAGTCCGCATTTCAGATGGGTAATCGAAGTTTTACCACAGTTTGCAGGGATACTATTTGATGTCCAACCCGTCGTCCTTGGTCCTGGTAATAACAACGCATTGCGCAAAGATTTAATGATCACCTCGCTGAGTCTGCTGGCCATCACGCTGCCCGCCGTTCCACCACCCACGACGATGAAGTCGTACTCCTTGTCCGGCAACGCCCTGTTCGCCGGTCGGCCGCACGGGTCTTCGATGTCGCACTGCGACCTGATAAACACCTCCAATAGGCCCATGAACAACATGAACGCCGACCCACCACATGTGCTGGCCAACGTCGGTCCCGGCTGGGTCACCGGGCAGTTGCAACTGCTGCTCATCCTGGATGCGTTTCGTGGGCTGCTGCAGTCGTTATAATGTTATAATATTATTTATATCAAATCGTATTTACTCCTGGAAAACGAAAAGTATTGGCAAGGGTTAGTATACGCGTTCGTGAAATCAGCGACACATTCAGTTAGATTAGGTTACGATACTAAGGTCCTAAGACCTCGAGTTGGTAAATTTAGTAACTATCAGGAAGGTTTATAATCTAGTTAATTTAAAAGGGCCGTGTTCGCGATCATTACTATTTAAAAATCATGTAACCATAACTGATACTTTGACATGGACTTCAACTATTGGTTTTGTAGTTCAACAATCATCTATCTATTCATCGCGATCGTGCCGAGTCAAGTAACGGTAATTTTTTTCTCCGATTTTTAAGTTTGGGTTTGATCACGGTTTCGAATTTGTTTTATTACATTAATTATTTTACATATTATAATTTAGTTAATTTAGCGCATATTTTCCCGTATTCAAGTGCATAATAAGTAATATTTTAAAGTGTGTATGCTTAATATCTTTTGAATGTATTTTACCCAAATCTCTGGTTGTTAATAAATTCGTTTCTAAATAACTATGTTTTAATGTATAAATTACAGTTTGTACGTTGTGTACATTTGTTATTACTTGTCTTAGAATAAAATATAAGAAAAATAAACGTTAGAGTTTAGTCGAAAGAAGTCGGACACTGACGCGTAATAAATGTGTAATAAATATTAATGATGTCTGTCATCACTAGACAACAAACGGCGATTGTAGGTAGATGAACTGGGTAGTCTATAGAACGATAATATTATAATATTTTATAAAGACACTCAGAAACACGCGAATTTCATTCGGACGACTAAACAAATTTTAGCGGGTCTTTGGTTTTTATAACGTTCTCGTTCAAATATCACAGTCATAAAAAAGGGGTTACGAAATTTGGTTTTTCCTTTTAGAGTTCGTCGGTGAAAAACCCAACAACAACAATAATAATATGATGTATAGGTACGGTCGCGGGTCGTCGTGAGTCGTATTCGGAGAGTAATAAATTTATAGTAATTTTGTTATTTTATTACTCTCTATGGGTATACTTTATGGATAATACGTATGCCAGATGAAACACTACGGATGCGATCATCGCACGACGAGTTTATCAAAACTATTTTTTTAATTTTCATATATCCGTGAACAAATCTTATTTATTCTATCGTCGCGTGTTGGGTCTTTATTCCGTACGTACGCAGATCACAGTGTATACACCACGTTTATTTATGCTAAACTGCATAATTATTATTTTTTTTCGTTTTCAAATTAATAGTTTTGAAAATCTCGCACGTGATGTACGTTCGGCACAGTAAACGTACGATGTCTAATAATAATAGTATGTATATACCAACCATTATTTATTAATATTATTATTATTATCGTCTACGTTTTCCGGTCCGGTCAAGGTTATGAACAGGATTCGCGAGTGCTAATAATACAATTATGACTCAATCGGTGAAAACCCTTCTAATAAATTATTGATTTCAATCGCGTCGCAAACGAGCTAGCGATCGGTGGTGAACGAACCGCAAAACCGAGCGAAAACACAGTCTTGATGATTTTATAATATTATTACATATTATATTATGGTACTTGCCGTTACTTATCCCACGTAGCATAGGTATATCACAATATTATCACTCGAATTGAGTACTAAGTCATAACCTGAAGTATACTAAATATACTTTCAACGAAATGTCATTTTAATCAAATTCTGATTTTAGGAATTTTTAATTATTACCTACTTAGAGTTAAAGACCATATTATTCAAATTCTTTGATGGCTATACTTTAAAGAAGTGTCTTGGGGTGGCTCAAAAACTAACTTTATTTTCTGACTATCTTTTTCCAACGAAAATTGATTTTTTCCTGTAAATTGTTGATTACGATTTTTGTGAAAAAATCAAATTCCAATGCACTTAAATAAAAATTCAAACAAACAATTTTTAAATTCCTAAACTATAATATTACCATAGATTTATATTATATAATATAAGTATTTATTTTGGTAGTAATCATACCTATACTCGTACGATGTTGAATGGTTTAAAGTTTAAACGTTTTAGTGCTTTTGGTGTAACGGAATAGTTTTTTTATGAACAATTTATCATAATTTCAGTTTTTTGAGATCAACCAAACGACACGTTAAGGTATTCATCAAATACAGACATACAGTTCGGTATGATCAGGTTTATTATGCTGCATCCAGATCACATCATTTCGGTTTCGTTTAATCAACATAATATCATAACATATTTGTAAGCAATTCACAATAATACGTAATTTAGGACAAACACCTAGTCGGTTTTGTTATCTACATTTTTTACTAGAATTTCGAAATTTTTATGCCGTTCGGCTCTTTTTCATGACAGCAAAGCGTGCACTTTCTACATGCCTGAACTTGATACGCAGACTTTGGTCTCCTTACTCTTATCTCCGACAATAATCACGAGTAGTGCGATTATTATTAAATATTAAATCGTACCCACTTTCCCCTGGAAAGGCATATAATATGTAGAGTCTACATTGTAGACGCGTTATAGGTAGGTTGGATACAATATAATAATATTTTTATAGAACATTTCAGCGCAATATTATGTGAACAACGAGTATATCATAATCATACTATGTCTACCGACTATATGATAGGGAATCGCATTAGTATTATTAATGTTTATTCGGCTCTCGCAGCCGCCGTTTCCGGAGCGAAACACAAACCTCAGCCGTTCTGGTCTGCAAACCCTTTTCGCTTGACTGTAACCGTATATTATCATAAATGTTGTATAACAATATTCCGCGAACGACAGATATGTTTATTATATCGTCTGCCGACGTATCTAGACATAAGTCTGATCCGTCTTCGCCGAGCAGACTGTTGATATTGTTCAGTAAGCACGTCGGAACGTACACTCTTAATGTCATAATACTAAGTGATTAATGTGATCCTCTGCCTTTATTATAGAATCAACCTATAAAAACCTAAGCCGAATAATATTTGACTGTAATGTTAAATCGGCAAATTTTCACATGGCAGTTGAATCCCTTTTAGTTATAAAAACAACTCAATAGTTCTATGGAACTCGACAGTCGTCAATGATTTTGTGTGTGCGATAACATAATATAATATTAGAGTTTTAATTTTCTTACCGTCCGATCTTGACCGAATGCCAAGACAGATTATTCAGTGTCTCGGTGAAGGTGTCTCTTCTACATCAACCGACTTTGTGAATACAGACAATGAACATGAACACCGTTTGTCCACATAACCAACACATATAAATATTGGTACAGATTTATCTCAAGTCTCAATTTTATAAAGCAACTTTGACCTTTTATATACCGATTTCCTCTCGGAGGGCTGAACAAAACGATCGAGCCAATTACAATATTTTGACAACAGCTGTGATCTGTGGACTCGTTTATCGATTCTTTGCAGTCACCCCGGAATAAGCTCGACGATTCCGTGCACATCTCTTGTTTCGCATTCTTCGCTTTGGTAAATTGTATGTGCTATTGTAATTGTTAGTACAACACTGGCAGTCATAATTGAGAGCTCAAGACTTCACGTTCTCAATAGTCATCAGACGTTAAAGATGCTGCCTGTGTCCGTAAGCTCTACAAGTTTTCAAAAATGTTCGTCCTTAACGCTCCCTGCATGGAATATCATATTTAATTTATTATTGATGTTTCAACTGTGAGACGTAAACGGCGAGGAGTGCCCGCCAGCAGCTATACGGTTGTCGCTCATCTGTTACTCTCCAAAATAATATAACGTGCGTGCCAGTCTAAACTTTGAGATGTTTGGCAAGTACAAAAAACCGTGTTCTCAAGTGCGGGTTATTGTTAGCATAAATAAAAAACATGGTTCATTGATAGTTAATGTAATGCATACACCGATAATATTTTTAATGCGTGCATATGACACGTCCCTGCAATATAATATTAAGTCATCGTTTAACGCGAGCTTTGCGTTTAATGAGTATAAACGATCGCAAAAGTTGATACAATTCTGGTCGTCACGATTCCGAGACTCTGCATTCGTAAATCGTATGATACATATATTATATCGTACACTTGCTTATTATAATATTATTATACTGAGTTTTTTAAATCTAAAATATTCCGTTGAGAACACAACTGTATAGTAATGATTAACGGTCACGAACTGTTCGCACGTTTTTTTTATTACGATCGACACGCGATTTTGATTATTATATTTATTTATTTATTCTTTTTATTGGACGGATTAATACCACCGACCTGGACGGATCTCAGCCGTAGGTTCTATATAATAATATATTATATTGTATTTGAATACGTATACGCACGACGGACGCGTTTGTAAATTGAATTCGTCGGCTGACATTTAATTATAAACACAATATATTATAGTGTCGGTGACTTCAAGTCAACTTCGACACACGCATTTGAGTTATGCGTACGCAGAAGCTTCGAACAAGAACAACGCACGAAAACGCGATTCCGAATAGCGTAAAATAAGTAGTGTCTCGGTTAATGAACACGAGGACTGGTCGAAAACGTCTCCCCGGATCGTCGATCACGGTGACCTCAACGCCCCGAACTGCGCAATACCGTCGCATTCGATTTTTCGTCGTCGTCGTCGTCGTTCGTCTTTATAAAATTTCATCACAGAGTCCCGTGTAAGGTGATAGGGATCGTTGTCGTATATGTACAGAGTAATATATTTATTTGGTCTTTTATATTCGTTTTCTCAAAATGAAAAGGTATTAATATTTTTGGAGATGTATTATTTTCGGATCAGTTTGTTGCAGTCGTTACATTTTGAAGAAAAGCGTCTTAATTTTTATCGTTTCAATAAAATTATGTATACGACTTGTGTTTTTCCTTCTGATGACTTCAATTTATAAAAAAAGTGATAGTTACTGTGCTGTATAGTAATATAGTGTCGAGTTTGTTTCGTCATTGAGCAGGTCCTCGAGTAATGGATCCGTCAAATAAAAAAGTTTATAATTTTCCGGGATAATTCGAGTGTTTACCAACAATAGATAATCGGCCTACTATATATATATAATATACACCGTCTAGTTTACACGACCCCAACGATGACCGCTACATTATGTCATCGCGTTATTTAATTTCGTCACTCCGTTGCTCCGACATCGAAAACCCATTTTGTAAACTGCATGCGATATTAATGGGGATGTACTGGTCCTCTGGCTGTGTATGGTTTAGTTTATAATATTATTATATATTATACGTGATGGACGCGTGCGGACACGAACACGGCGCTTCGTGAGCGTCTTCTTATAATTTCCCGGCGCGTCGCGACTTCGTGGGAAACCGTTCCACGCCATTGTTCGGCGAAATGCGTTTATGATAATGATGACGACGACGATGATGATGATGATGATGATGATGATGATGATGATGACGACGACGACGACGATGGTCTCCTCTGGTGACTTTTTACACGAAGGCCCCGTACACATACCGGCTCGTGTACCGTGACCAATCGGCCGCGTTTGATGTTACACGTCGACCCACGAGATAATAATAGTCTTCTCGATTGCCAACGGATTGCACACACACACACACACACACACACACACACACACACACACTCAACACAAATCGTTTTGGTAAATACCGTTCGGTATTTCGACTATCGAACCAAGTTCAATAGTTCGCGATACGTCCATTGTATAATGTTTTTTTTTTAATATCATTTCATTTTTTTTTTCAAAAGAATCATTTCATTTCTTAACCGTATCGTTGCGATGTTGAATGATTATATATATATCATATTATGTATAACCTAATATGTACTACCTATATTATA